GGTCGTTGTTCCCCAGCCCCTCCGCAAAAGGGTCCTCACAGCCCTACACGAGACACACCCAGGGCTAGTAAGAATGAAGGCCCTTGCCAGGAGTTATGTGTGGTGGCCGGGGATCGACAGAGAGATAGAGGCCTGGGTCAAACACTGCCAGGCCTGCCAAGAATCCCGCCCAGATCCCCCAAGGGCCCCAGTCCAGTCCTGGGAGTCCGCCCGAGCACCATGGTCACGCCTGCATGTGGACTTCGCTGGCCCCTTTCAGGGGAAAACATTCTTCATAGTGGTGGACTCCTACACCAAATGGCTGGAAGTCGCACTGGTACCGTCCACTTCTACGTCCACAGCCATCCGGGTACTACGCAGGCTGTTTGCAACCCATGGGCTCCCTGACACTCGTCTCAGACAACGGGACTGCATTTACATCAGGAGAATTCCAAACCTTCACAGCGCAGAACGCCATCCGCCACATCCGTTCGGTGCCATTCCACCCTGCCACCAATGGCCAAGCAGAACACATGGTGCGGACCACCAAGGACACCCTTCGCCGCATGACGCAAGGGGATTGGGAGTACCGCCTTGCCACATTCCTTCTAGCACAGTACAGCACCCCCAGCTCAACGACTGGCCGGAGCCCCGCTGAACTACTAATGGGTCGGTGCCTTGCAATCAGATTGGACCACCTTCACCCCGATAGAGCTCAGGATGAGGTAGTGGTGGGGGAAGGCAGGAGCCCCCGGACCTTCGAGGCCCAGGACCCAGTGTACGCAAAGAATTTTGGGGCAGGCCCAGCATGGGTACCTGCCACAGTCACCAGGGTCACTGGCCCCGTGTCGTATGAGGTGCTAACAGATGGGGGGCAATGCTGGCGCCACCACTGCGACCAGATACGGCGACGATTCCCGGGAGAAAACCAGGAGGAGGAGGACAGGTCAGAGGAGTCCCAAGGGAACAGTGGGGCAGTGAGGCCCATAGAGCAGCAGGGGCCAGCAGGAGAGGCAGAATCAGTAAATACAGAGAGGACCTGCGAGGCCGAAAGGACACCGGAACCAGAACCACGACTGAGCGAGCCGGTTGCGCCAGACCAAACAGCCCCATCACAGCCAGCATCCTTGGAACACGAGCCAGAACCTGAACCCCGGACCAGGGAACACCCCAGGCCGCAACGCACACGTAGGCCGCCGGTGTACCTTGAGGACTATGAATGCGACCACCCGGCCAGGACTGGACCAGAGAGGCGAGGGGTGTTATGTACTGAGTTGAATAGGATCCAAAATGCAGCAGTCTGATTGGTCCTAGAACAATAGGATTCAGAATGCAGCAGTCCGATTGGTCCTAGAACAATGCAGCAGTATGATTGGTTGGCAGGAACTACCCAATCATGCTCCAGATAGAAGTGAATCCACAACCTGATTGGCTTACAGTAGAATTCCGGAATTAGCCAATCATGTGCAGCCCATTGTGTAAATAATGTATATAAAGCAGATACTTTGAGGGGAGTCATTCATTCCTCCTCACCACTATGAGCTGAATAAAGAGCATGAAATCACTTTGCGACTCTGAGTATATTTCATTCCCCATGTTTGGCTTTTTTAAAAAAAGGATTTTCAGAAGTGGCAATCATGTCTCTGGGATGATGGGGAGGCGGAGAATACCACCTTTTCTTTATGCTTCTCTTGCACGCGGATGTGCGTGGATGTCCCATCCGAAAATGTGAACTTCAAGTCCGACTGTTGCAGAGGAAGGTATGCTCAGACAAATGTCCAGCTCAGTGATCTGGTTCTGCCAGACTCTTGCTGAACTGTTGGTTTGCCAAACAATTGCTGCATGCTCGGCTGCCTTTCTTACTGCCTTCACTTTTCCTCTTGACACCGGTCCTACGAAATTGCTGCCCACCTGCACAAAGGGCGGAAGCAGCAGAGGCAGCAAAATTGTGCGACTTCACTCTTCCAATTCACTTCAGGCTCCAGCTCATTGCTCTCTGCATTAAAGCTTTTGCGTTAGAGCCACCCAAAGGTCAGGAATAAGCAGAATCCCATTTCTTTCAATGGAACAGATCTTAAGAGTGTGCTTATGCCCACTGAAATCAGTATAGTCCTTGAAGCTAGCTGGACCCTTTATCTGGAGAAGCAGCAAAGTGGGGGGGGGGGACATGCCTCTCACAGGACATATTATTTTCACTAATACTTTCATTTTCATGCACACTTTCCCCTGATAGATTCATATTTGTGAACATTGGTAGGTTGGAGAATTACATTGCAAAATTCAAAGAAATGCAAAAAGTGTGAATTTAATAGATTCATATTTAAATGCACGGTGAATCAATTTTCTCTTCCATCCCTAATAGTAAATGGTTGTCTGTATTTTTCTAATAATTTCGCTTAAAGGAACTTTGTGTCACAACCTAAGTTTCATTATCAGTGACCTCAGAAAATTATAGTTCCTATAGAGTTGTTCCTGCTGTTTGAACTCTCCTTCCTTCATAACCACAAAAAAAGAACTGTCAATTTTAACTCATGGTCTATTGCTGCACTCTGCTCTAATTGTATGTTTTATCTTTATGAATGCTGTTTTTATTGTGTTATGTGAGTTGGTCTTTGACAGTAATAAATTATCTATCTATCTATCTGTCCATAGAAAATGTTTGGTTTGGTTTCTTTGGCATACAATACTGCAGAAATGCTATTATTTTCATGTTCATGCTACATACAAAGGAAAAGGGAAATCAGTATAACTTCCCAACTCAGTTTCTCCATGAAAGTCCTTGTGAAGCCACAGCTTCTTTAGTTCTGAACCACAGAGTGATTCCTTACCACTGTCCTATGAAATTTTCTGCCATGTTCATTTGTCACATTGTGTATACTTTATTTGTCAATTTTTCCATTAAAGCATATTGCCAGATTACATTTTTCCATTCTTGAAATGTTTCTCCACCTTCAGTTTTCCCATTTATTGCTGTAACCTGTCTAGCTGCAGCTAAGATAGCAACTTTTTAGCAACATCAAAAGCAGTTAACAATGCAGGTGTCAGGGAAGGTTCTATAGGATGGCTTGTGATTTTACTACATTCCAGTAACATCCCTCCGCTCTGAAAAGCCTTGTACTATTTTGCATCCCCACCACATATGGAGGTATCTGCCCAGTTCCAGGGACCCATGTCACCAACAAATTGGACTCTGTTTGCATTGTAGATGTAACCCTTTGTATCCATTAGATAAAATCCTGAAGAACAATAGCGAGGCAAATGGGAATTTTATCTCTGTGCTGTGCTTCTTGAATATAAACATTTACCAGTAGTCACTGTAATGAAGGATTCTCTCCTTTATATTTTGCATCATTACAGGTTGTTATTTCTGTTGTGGAGGTGGGGAGATGATTAACAAAATCAGTCCTCCTGGCAAACTGGGAATATCCCCACACAGGCCCAGTTTAGGATATTCCACACCTTTCCTCAGCAGTTCCTTCTTTGAGAAAAATAAGTGGCTCAAGTAAATGTAAACTAAGCTTTAATAATAAAGAAAACTGTGACAAAATCACGTAATGAGAGAAACTAAATACAGCAACATGAGTCAAGTCTGAAGCAAGAAACAAGAAGAGGCAGTTGGTCCCTCTTAACTGAAATTTAACGGAAAACCCAGAAGGGAGGAGCTGATTCTGGAGCATAAGACACAAGCCCCGCCCACCAGATACCAAACATTCTACAGATCAAATTAGACCCCAATATTTTTCTTACAATTTCTCCGTTGCGTTAATTGAATTAACCTCATTCTAAGGGAAAGAGCTGGTCAGAAATTTGGTAGCTAAAGGATAAAATTTAAAGCAAGAAATATTCCCAGAAAATAATGAAGGCTACAGTTCTATAACCATTTACTGTATGTGAGACTAAGCCCCATTTAACGGCACTTACTTCTAAGCAGACGTGTGTAGGATTACGGTGTAATTCTTCCTGGAAAGTACAAAAGCTATTTTTATTTTTACTATAGGAAGTTTACTTTAAACAATTTATTTCTACCCGGAACACCGTGCTTTTAAACAGGAGCAGAAATAAGCTCCTGTCAGAATTCTATATGGCCTCATTCCCTCAAATGAAAGCCACCCTTTTGAAAAGCAGCCTTATATGTCCCAGCCGTCAAATGCATTTAAAGACATCTGGTGTAAAAGGCAACGAAATTACTAGCCAGTTTCACGAGTGCTTCTTCCTTCTTCCACCCCACCCCCCTCCCCCACTCCCACATAAACAGTGACCTTATAATAATCATTTTAACGCTATCCCTCCCTTTTCTAATTGTGGCTCCTCAATGTGACAAGCCAAGAAGCCCATCCTACGATGTGCTGTGCCGAAGCAGTGGCTCACATCAGATTGGGGGTAAAGTTAGCAGCGGCAGCGGTACCAGAGGGAATTCGCATCCCTTTTTCCCTGCCACATGGATGCAACCTCCACCTTTCTCTCCTTGCCCCCGCCACCCCTCGCAATTTCAGGGCAGGAAAGGGCTAGCAGTATTAAATCCCAAGGGTTGCTCATTTCAGCTTTGTCTCCCGTGAAGAGAGCAAGACATTGGCTTCGTTGCTACTAATCCTTTCCTCTCCCCCACCCCACTCCCCAGAAAACAGCTAATTAGACACGGAGCAAAGGATCCAAACTACAAGAAAGAAGATTCCACCTAAACATTAGGAAGAACTTCCTGACAGTAAGAGCTGTTCGACAGTGGAATTTGCTGCCAAGGAGTGTGGTGGAGTCTCCTTCTTTGGAGGTCTTTAAGCAGAGGCTTGACAACCATATGTCAGGAGTGCTCTGATGGTGTTTCCTGCTTGGCAGGGGGTTGGACTCGATGGCCCTTGTGGTCTCTTCCAACTCTATGATTCTATGATTCTAGATGGCACAAGCATCTGAAATTGCCGGTAAAGAGAAAGCGGCAGATTCTGGGTAAGAAAACTTGCTAAGGATTGATAGTCAACACTACCAACCTATTTGGCCTATCTGACTCTGACTAATAGCCCTGCAGCTCCATGTCTGGCTGGTGGTTTCGAACCAATAGGTGAGATTTTATTCATTAGTTAAATTTATATCTCAGGGCGGTTCACAGAGACTGAGCCTGCTCACATGCCCATCTCATCCACTCCCAGACTCCTCTCCTGACTCGCTACTCATCCCCTTGGCACGATGGGCGGGACGTACCACTGTGACCCGCCCTGCTTTGCTCATGTTCACTGGATGGGTGTAGGTTCATCTGAACCAAATGGGGTGGGGAGAGAAGACAGCGTTTCTTTCTGGAGCTAACTGAAGCCAGGAAGGTGGCTTGGGACAGACTGCACAAATGGGCCCTCTGCAATTCAGCTGCGTCTTTTTAGAGGTCTTCCAGAGGCACTGTTTTGCTTATATAAAGGTAAAGGTAAAGGGACTCCTGACCATTAGGTCCAGTCGTGGCCAACTCTAGGGTTGTGGCACTCATCTCGCTTTATTGGCCAGGGAAGCCGGCGTACAGCTTCCAGGTCATGAGGCCAGCATGATTAAGCTGCTTCTGGCGAACCGGAGCAGTGCACAGAAACGCCGTTTACCTTCCCGCCGGAGTGGTACCTATTTATCTACTTGCACTTTGACGTGCTTTCGAACTGCTAGGTTGGCAGGAGCAGGGACTGAGCAACGGGAGCTCACCCCGTCGCGGGGATTCGAACCGCCGACCTTCTGATCGGCAAGTCCTAGGCTCTGTGGTTTAACCCACAGCACCACCCATGCTTATATATTTGTCAACAAAACCCAATGCCAGAAAGCGATTGCGGTCGTCACTCATTCCAAGGGATCTGAAGCTGGTAGGATTGCCACTCTCAAATCTCACTAGCCAGGGAAGTGGAAAAGAGATAAAACACTACAATTTGAAGGGTGAAACTTCCCTCTTTTCCTCCCTGATAGAAGGGGCATTGGTGTCATGCCTAACTTTTAATATTGCTGGGAAGACAATCGATTTGACATGCGGTGCAATGAACATGAGCTCATTTAGTGGCATGAGTACAAGGCTTACATATGTCAGCAAAGAGACGGGAGGAGGATGAATGCAGATAGAAAAGGCATCAGGCCCACCAGCTGTGGCCTGAACTTTCTTCAGGAGATTGAGACTTCTTCCTTGGCGAGCTGTAACAAGCGGCGCTTCGTAATCAACTCCTTTGAGGACAAGCGACGAATGAGTCAGAGCTCTGAGGTTACACAAGCCTCGCAAAGTGGGGGGGGGAGAGAGATGGCTGCCTCCAGCAACGAGAAGAAAGCTTTCATTTAAAACCCCAGCAGGAGTGTCTTTTGTGACTTGTTCGGTCTGTAAGAATAATTCGGGAGCTTTTATCAAAATAAAAAGAAACCGCCACACAGTTAAACATGTTCTCTTGCTGAGTGAAAATAATTAAAGCCGGACCCAAAAATAGAGCAGAAAGGCAGGGTTTGGACCAAGCAGAGGACGCCCTCACAATGTCTCTTCAGTTTTAGTATTAGACTCGTAAAAGAAAGGGCGGGAGTGAAAATAGCCCTGGAAATATTTTTTACTTGGCCTCTTTCAATCCTAGCGAGTGGATTTTGGTGCTGGTTGTGCTACACACAAGTATCTCAAGCACAAACCCTGTAGGACTTTTTCCCACACGAATGGAGCGTAGTTTTAACCACCTAGGACCCCACTGTGACGCCTGAAGCAAAGAACAAGATGGCGTCCCAGTTTCACATACAGAAGCAATGACACTGATAGCTAAATCTTACTTTGATCTTGGAAATGGTGTTGCGTTCCATTGTACCCGAGGGCGAGGCTAGCTTAGGGGTCACAGCTCTGTCTTCCAACACCTTGTGGCAGCTCCCCAGTGCCCATCATCTGATACCTGATACAGCTGCCTCACTTTGCCTCATGGTAGGACCGGCCCTGACTATAAGAGCCGTGGCGCCTCTGCTGAACCCGGAGTGTGTTGCCCCAATACACACCAAAGAAAAGAACTCTCTCATTTGTTGGAACTGTCCTTGACACTCCATATGTCTCCCTTATTATACAGTTCAGCACAGGATGAGGAAGCAGTTCGTTTTGCTCGCTTCGGTGTACACACACATATTGCAGACATAGAGGAGACTCGGAGATGTCCCAGTTGCAGTGATGCTGATCTTGGCTGGGTGGTTGGCTGCTTGACCCAATGCATTGCAGGCAGTTGCAGTGGGAAAGACCCTTTCACCAAGTGACTGGGCAAAAGGCAGCACTCCAGCAAGCCTCACACATGCATTCCTCTGCTCCTGTGCCACGCATTGGCCCTGCAGCATTTGTGTAAGCGGGAAGTGAGCAGGCACCAGGAGCAGCAAGGAGTGAGTTGCACCGAGGTGTTGGAGGGCAGAGCGGTGTGTGCCTGCCATACACTTCCTAAGCTCACTTGCTGCCCTCAGGTGTGGTGGTAGAGGTTGTCTCATCACCAGCTTTGAGACTGAAGATTCAGTTGTCCATCTGGTTGGCTCCTGTACATGGAGTGAGCAGGAGAGCACTATCTTAGGCAGAGAAATGTTTTGGACCAGCCCCTTAAATTGAACTAAACATCACTGCAGCAGTGTGAGAAGAAGACAAAGGGGAGTGCAGCTCGCACATCTCTCCAGCAAAACACAGAGGGTTTCCTATTTATGGCTGCCATATCAAAATCTCTCCAAAGGAGTAAAGGAGGAGGAATGGTGGGCTTTGCAAAAACATAGCCACTGGAGTTTTGCAAATACAAGATAATCCTTTAAAGCCAGGAACAATATTTTTGAAATGCGAACATCTGGCATCCTTAGCCTCAGGAGTCTATTTTCAAGCACAGGATTCTTATCATCATTCATCTTTGTAAACTTTTTGGAATCACTTCTTTTGGATCATGAAGGCAAATGCTCAGCTATGGCCAAGAATATTCCTATGCAAGTAAGCAGGAGAGTTTCAGAGATGACTCTGAAAATACTTTCAGTTGCTCCAGCAGTTGGAATCACTCCAGTTTCTTCATAGCACCTGAACAATGTATCTGACAATAAGGAATGTGCATATTCCAATGCCTCTGGGATTGGGGCACCCTGATTTTTTAAAAGGAAATAGCAAGGACCATTAGGTAATAATTTTGACTCAGTAATAATACTCGTAATAATTATGCACAGAATTATGGCATTAAATATTTTAAAACCAAATCTGAAAAAACAGAGTATGTGTTTTCGTACTGAAAACACAAGGAAATCTGTATCTAAAAGGTGCTATACAATCAAATTACTTGTTAGTGACCTGAGGAGTTATGACATAAAAGGAACCCAATTTTCTGTGAGTCCCAGTTTTCTTTCTATAAAATGGATGACCTGTTTTCCCAGGGTTAGGCTCCTGCTGACTGACTTTCCAAATCAGAGGTTGGAATTTCCCTTAAGTTCCAAAGAACAATTTCTAGTACTCAGTACCATAGTAAACAAAAAACAAAAAATAATATTGGGTCAGTTGGCTTGAGTCTATTTCCCCCCTCAAACTTCCTGTAGATTCTTTCGTACATTGGCGGTCACATGTCCCTCCCGTGACACCACGGCAATGTCTGTGGAGGACTGGTTTCACATGATAACATCCTTGGACCCTGTCACACCAAGTCTTCAGAATGAGCCAGAAGTTTCTCATGTCCCCTGTGCAGATTTTTCTAAGAACTTGCCAATTAGTAAAGGAGTATTAGCCTCTCAGCTAGATTCAGTGGCAAGCGTTCCTAATATTTAAAGTTCATCATGGCAGTGTTTATTATAATTCAGCACATTATTCAGTCCAGTTGCAATGGAAAAGCAGAACATGTAATGTTTGACGTCATCGTTTACCCTCTTGGGAGGTGAATTTATTGACTAGAAAAGAAAAGAAAGAAAAAGAAAGAAAGAAAACCAGCACAGGAATACATACTTCAGGACAAACAATCTACTTTGCAGAATCCTCTAGTATTATCACAGCAACAGAAGGCCTTCCCACCTTGAGGTATTTGCTTAGTTCACTGCTGGGATTTTTTAAATAAGGATCACTTTGCTATACTCTCTGAGATTTCTTGACTGCTGGCTCTATTACTGTTATCTAACTCTGCCGCTGCCTGGGGGGCATTTAGCTACCCACTTAAACTTTGGGGAAATTATTTTACCCAATATTAGTTTATCATTTTTTCCCCAATAATGGCTATCTAGGATGAAACGGAGGGAGCTGAGAAGAAGCCAGTGGCTGAGATATCCCCCACCTCCCAACATCCCCGCGATGCCAGGTTCATTTCAAGATGTAATCAGATTTGGAAGAAGTCCCCAAAGAGTTTTCACACGGCTGCTCATAATTAAAGAGGGAATGTGATCTCGGTGGCAGCTCTTGATGTGGTTGGCAGGCAGGCAAGCGGCCTCCAGAATTCATTGCATCCTCAAGAGGCTGTCGGTTCTGTCTGTCGTCACGGATTTTCTTGGCCAGGGCCCAGGGCAGATGAATGCCTCACACTGTTTAATGTTGCAGTGAGAAGGGTGGGGAATGGAAGGTTTTTACAGTGAAGGCTGGGGGGGTGGCTAAGAGAAGCAAGAGGAAAGTAGGTTGGAGAACATCATCTCATTTTTAAAAAAACAAAACAAAGCGACATAGGAGGCGGCCTTGTACTGAGTTAGATCATTGGTCCATCTAGCTCAGTAGTGTTTACATGGAATGGCAGTGGCTCTCCAGGATTGATTGATTGATTGATTGATTGATTGTTTATTATTCATTTATTGAATTTATATACCACCCTACACCTGGAGGTCTCAGGGCGATTCACAGAAAAGATCAACATAAAAACCACAATATATACAGTGATACCTTGGTTCCCAAACAGCTTAGCTGTCGAACAAATAGGCTCCCGAAAGCTGCAACCCAGAAGTGAGTGTTCCGGTTTGTGCACGTTTTTCGGAAGCTGGATGTCTGACGCAGCTTCCGCAGCTTCGGATTGAGTGCAGGAAGCTTCTACAGCCAATCATCAGCCACAGCTTGGTTTTCAAATGGTTTCGGGAGTCGAACGGGCTCCCGGAAAGGATTAAGTTTGAGAACCAAGGTGCCACTGTAATCAAAATAAAAAAAAAACCCAATAACACACACACCCCAAAAAGAAACATATTTTTAAAAAGGCATAGGATGTCAATCAGATCAACCAAAGGCCTGTTTAAAAAGGGTTGATTGCATTTCTTTGCACTTGTTTTTTACGCGGCGCTCAAAGTGGCCTACATGGTTCTCCCCTTCCTCATTTAAATCTCACAACAACCCTACGAGGTAAGATGGGCTGAGAGGCAGTGTCTGGCCGCAAAATCACCCAGTGAGCTTCATAGTTGAATGGGGATTTGAACCCTGGTCTCCCAGGTCCTAGTCCATCACTCTAACCACTACACCACACTGGTTCTCAGGGGTTAGAGAGATGGCGTTCTCTCCAGCCCTACCAGGAGATGCTGAGGATTGAACCCAGGAGCTTCTTACATGCAACACTGATGCTTTGCCACTGAGCTATGGCCCTTCCCCAAACTTTCAATTTCTGTTTTGTGAGGATATCAAGCCACACACTGTCTTAGCAGCTCCCCCAAAGAAAGCCAGGACATTGCTTCAGAAGGTCGGAGGAGAGAGGAATTTACTGCTCCCTGGGAGCTTTCAGCCACACCAAGAGGACCTTCAGATGCCTCTCCTTCCCCATTAGCTAGCTCCACAGATAGCCTTGCCAGTGTCATATCACCCACACATTCACATGATAAAAAGTCTCAGGAGACTTCAGATTCAGGCTGTGTACATACTATACATTTAAAGCGCTTCCGAAGCACATTTACCCCCCTCAGAGAATTCTGGCCACCATGGTTTACGCCTCACAGAGCTCCAATTCTCAGAAACCCTTAATAAACTACAGTGCCCAGAATTTTCTGAGGGCAAAGCTTTGGATGTGATTTAAAGGTATAGTGTGTCCTTGTCCTCAGACTCTCCAATGTTTTCACTTCCCCGTCCCTGGGTGATCTCCTGCAGGGTGGGCACAAGTTCTTGGCAGTGATGGCTGGTGTCCACTGCAGTTGCAGAAGACGACAGCAGGCAGACTGTAGACAGAGACAGAGCAAATAGTTAACTTGTGACCAGAGAGTCGCCTGAGGCTCCATGTTGCTGTGACAAAGAAGCTGCTGCGTATCCCATTTTATCGAAATGCTGCCCCCCACCTCCCCAGGAACGCTTCTAAAGAACCATTTTCAATTGCTCTTCCGCAAATACAATACAAATCCCTCAAGGAATGTTATTCACACCAAGTAAAGGCCTCTTCAGCAACTGTAAATTGCCCAGGGGAAAACTCACTCCTGCTATCGCAATCATCTCATCTTCTAATTGGTAATTGACTTTCTCACCAGTCATTTTAATCCAGGGCTGTCTGATGTTTGCTGGAGATCAGCAGCTGCTCTTTACCCCACCAGATATTCAGGAAGGCACTCCAAAGCTAGCTGGGATGTGTGACTAGAACACCCTCTCTGAGGATGCTACTAATTGCATGGACTTCGTTTTTCAGTGTTTCAACCAAGACTTTTGAAAGTTGCTTAGTGGGCTCAGATGTATCTGTGGATTACAATAACCCATATTTAGTGTGTGCAAACCTCAGGTTGCCCCCACTGGACAACATAAAATCAAAGGCAATCGTGTGGTAGCAGAACACATGTTTTGCACAAAAAAGTTCTGCAGACCCTCCAAGTGTCCCCATTTTCCAAGGAGAGTCCCCGATTTACAGAAGCCATCCTGGTTTTTGATTTGATCCCGGAATGTTCCCCTTTTCTGTAGTACATCCCTATTTTCATCAGAGAAATGCTGGAGGGTATGGAGTTATCCCACCCCCTAGCCATCTGAAGGCAGTCCTGTATAGGGAAGTTTTTTTAATGTTAAATGTTTTTATGTGTGTTGGAAGCTGCCCAGAATGGTGATGATGATGATTAAATAGGACAAGCCTATTTTCATTGGAGAAATGTCGGAGGGTATGGGTCTGATGTTCAGGATGTGGCATAGAAGCCAACTCATGGGGGCTGAGGGGTCTTTGGCCACCCAATAAAATATTTGAGAGGGCCAGGGCCCCCAAAGTTGATGGACATTGCCATTCAAGTGGTGTGCATGCACCATGTCATGTGATTGATTACGCGGGGCAGGGCTTATCTGCCCCCCTCCCCGAATATTTTATTCAATTTGGCATGTGGTATGTGGCATCTTCTGCTAAAGAATCTCATATCAGAAGACTGAGCAGAGCCAGTGGATCAATCAGATCAATGGTCTAACTCCATATAAAAACACCTAATATTCTTATGTGTGTGGGGCTATCCCACTGTAGGAACTGTTGGGCTCATGACCTCAAAAAACTTGCGAAATAGGTATAAATTTTACAGATCCTGCCCCTTCATTGTTTAAATTGGACATTTATCCCTAGCAGTGACTTTGCAGAAGGTTCTGAAGAAATAGCCACCAGGTGCTTCAAATCAAACTTAGGTTTAACCCTTATATCAGACGCTTAGCAATTTCCCTAGCCTAGAACTGCAAGATGCTCTCCTCAGTTGTCTGGAGGTCAATGTCAAGTGGTATAAATGGAGATGGTAGGTTTGAGTCTGGGTGGATCTGAGTCGAGGACTCAGAAGGGAGCAGAAGATTGAGGAAAGGAGCTTCTGCCCAGATCACTGCAATGTTTTGAGCCAGCTCTATTTGTTGAAAAGTAGGGATGAGCTCAGGCTAAAAGCAGTGAACTGCACACTCTGACGGGTTCATCTTGAAAAATGAATTCTGCAGCTTGTTCGTATCAGTGCATATTTGTAATCCTTTAACTGCATTAAAAAAGCAAGGTTACTGGAATTTTTCTGGGACAATTTCGTAAGTGTCTCCGCAAAACTGTCCGAGTAAGCAGAATAACAATGGTGAGGAGGGGAAAGTTTGTCTTCCAAACATATTCATGCAGCTGATAACAGCAAAAAATAAACGAAAGCTTCAAAAGCAGAAACCTGAATAGCTGAGTGGTGCAGTTTTCAACTATGACCTCAAGAATATTGAAGAACTTAGGGTCGTGGTACAATTTGGTACAGTTCTCGGACTGTGGCTGAATCCCACCATGAAACTTGTCTCCAGGGACATGCTATCATGGACATAGAGATATCTATCTTGGCCAGATCTCTGTATTTGCACAGATACCGACCCTTGGGTAGCATTATCCAGACTTGGACAAGATCAAGTTCATCCCATTTAAGGAATGTGTCTCAGTCCCAAAGGCAGGAGTGCCATCTGGGGGGGCAGAACTCACCAGAACTCAGTTCCAGCACCTCTCGGGTGGGTTCCAGCACCTTTGGGTGAGCACCATTGCCATTCTAAGAGAACAAGGGAGGCATTCATGGTGAGTCATTGTTAAGTTGTGGGTGAACATATCAGACGACACAGTGATTCTTCAAACAGCTCTTGTTTATTCACAGGCCAGGACAGAACTGAACTGAAGGGTTCAGTCAGCCTGCTTATATAGCGCTCCAGTACAATGTAACTGTAACAATTTTCTAAAACTATCCAATCACTGAACATCACTTTCGATCCCTTATTTGCATAACTATCTACAGTATGCCCCTGCTGGCCCAGGGTGAGAACTTCAGTACATAACAGTCATAGTGTTGGAAAGGACCAAAGGGACATTTAGTCCAAATACTGTTTTGCTTTGAGGCAGGGTCCATACTATGTACCATACAGTTAAGGCAAATTGAAAGCATACAACTTCCCCCAAAGAATCCCAGGAACTATACCTTGTCAAGAGTGCTTTAAACAGTACCTTTGTGAGAAACAAACCACAGTTCCCAGAATTCTTTGCTCTCCCTCATTTTTTTGGTCCAGATATTTTCCCCGCCCTTTCTTTCAGCAGCTGTCCAGCGATTGCCAGGTCTGTCAAGGCAGATCCTGATAAAGATCTGGCCTGTGTAGCTAACAAGCTTCTCCCGTTCTGTGTGTGAGCAGGCTCCCCTTCCCATTTTGAAATAAATTTTATTTTATTAATAAAGTAAACCGAAGATAAAGAGCATAAAGAAATACTGTTGCAGCAGGCTGAAAGAAGCATAAGGACAGACGTTGTCACTGAACCTTTTCCAAAAACATTACAAAAAATACCCACTTCCCCCCCATAAACCTGTTAGGCTGGTTTAAATGTATTCTTGTATAATGTTAGATTGATCATAATTACTATGGACCAAATTTTCTTGATCCATTCAGCTATAGAAGGAGAGATGCTTCCCCACTCCTTTTTAGCTATTATAACAGCAGCAGCTATAAGGCTGAACACCTAGGACTTGCTGATCAGAAGGTCGGCGGTTCAAATCCCCGCAACGGGGTGAGCTCCCGTTGTTTGGTCCCTGCTCCTGCCAACCTAGCAGTTCAAAAGCACGTCAAAGTGCAAGTAGATAAATAGGTACCACTCCAGCGGGAAGGTAAATGGCATTTCCGTGCGCTGCTCTGGTTTGCCAGAAGCGGCTTAGTCATGCTGGCCACATGACCCGAAAGCTGTACGCCGGCTCCCTCGGCCAATAAAGCGAGATGAGCGCCGCAACCCCAGAGTCGGCCACGACTGGACCTAATGGTCAGGGGTCCCTTTACCTTTACCTATCAAGAATAGCATCTTTTAGATAGCCAAGCAGAAATATTCAACCTGAAATATGCTTTAAATGCATGGTGTGAACACAATCTGTGTTCCGAGAGCCAGAAGTAAATATTTTGCCATAAACAAGGAAGCTCTAAATAATGTGATTGTGCTGTATTGTGGATAATAATTTGAAAAGAATTTCCCCTTCCTTTCAAGTGGACAGCACTGTTGATCTGGTAGGGCTGCTGGGGGCGGGGGAGGGCGCAGGGAGAGATGGCTAAAGTTGCTTTGTGAGTCAGGTCTGGCAGAAGGTCACAAATCATCCATCCTTCTTTCATGATATCAAACTAGCGCGCTTGCCAATCCAACCCACTCCAGGTCTGTAAGTGCTGATGCAGCAGTCTTCCCCATCAGGCTAACAGGCTTGGTTTCAATCAATATCTCCTGCTCTGGTTCATCTGAACTTTCTGTTAGATCCTGCCACTTCTATCATGCACAGATCATATCAGAGTGACAACTGTGAAAAACGCTTGGCTGTTGCTTTAATGATAATGAAATGTGGTGTGAGATCTAGCTAAACTAGAGGAAGTTTCTGCCATCTGGTGGTGAACTGAAAGACCAAAAGGCCTGAACGTTTATGTCTCATTGACATTTGCCTAAATTATTCCACCTTGCCCCAAAGGAGGGTAATGATTCATCATGGGAAACCCTCTGAGTGTCCCTAATTTCCAGGGATGGTCCTGGATTTACCAGAAGCCGTCTTGGTTTTTGATTTGATCCTGGAATGTCCCACTTTTCCTTAGGATGCTCCTGTTTTCATCAGAGAAATGTTGGAGGGTCTGAAGTTATGGAGTTATATGACACCCCCCCCCCCCCCGGCCAGCCAAAGAGATAACTATACAGCTTTTAGAAGACATCTGAAGGCAGCCCTGTATAGGAAAGGTTTTTTTTAATGTTTATTATGTTTTTATATATGTTGGAAGCTGCCCAGAGTGGCCGGGGCAGCCCAGTCAGATGAGTGAGATATTATTATTATTATTATTAATAATAATAATAATAATAATAATATGATGGTGATGATGATGATGATGATGATGATGGAATAGGACATCCCTGTTTTCGTCAGAGAAATGCTGGAGGATACATAACGGAGTGTTTGCTTCTACATTTGTTTAGTCCAATGTCTGCCAGATCTATATCTCTCACTGTGGTGGCATCAAGTTCCCTATGTGTGAAATTATGGCCAAGCCTGGCAATCATTTTAGTTTTATTTCCTTGCTGTGATGCTGTGGCCACAGTGCAGGGCTTCTCTTTTGCTGTGAGAGAGATAACTCACAGACAAGGGTGCAGCCAAGCAAAGGGTTACACAAGCCTTTTCAACCCATCTTCATATGCAAAATTCAGAGTACAGGATAAATGGGGCTACCCATTTCATACCCTCCATCATTTCTCTGATGCAAATATGAACATCCTATTCCATACCTTCCAATATTTCTCTGATAAAAATAGGATATCTGTCAGGGAACTGCCATCAGTGCCGGAGGGAGAGAGAGAGCTCCAGAGGGATCCCAGAAACTGTCACGGGATTGGGAGAGGCAGCCCATCTTCTGGGGAAGGGAATCAGCTCAGCTCCAGTGGAGAAGGGGGGCAGATGGGGGAATCTAAGAGGGAGTCACATGACTCCTTGCCTGGGACCAGTGGGGGGAGGAAGGGTCCTCCGCTGCCTACGCCTTCCTTGCGCAGAAGGCTTCCGCGCACGGAAAGTAGGAGGCGACTGGGCGTGAAAGAACTTCTATGCTGGAAGAAGTTTAAGAAACGCCCACTGGCGGATTCTGCCAGCAATTGAGACAGCCATGGGTGAGTGGCTGTCCGGACAGAAAAGGTTCACTTAGGCAACCCAGCCAGGTGTGGGCACCGGCTTATGCACGAGCAACCCCTTGAACCACTACAATATCCTAAGGAAAAGCAGGACATTCTGGGATCAAGTCAGATACCAGGATGGCTTCTGTAAATCTGGGACTGTCCCTGAAAAATAAGGACACTTGGAAGGGCTGATTTAGTGGTCCTGTGAGGTGCAGTTCATGACTCTCACCCAGGAAGGCAACACCTAAACACAGCAGGAAGCAAGGCAGAAGTTTCTACAAGCCATCATGTCAGTGCATAGACTACAATGCCTGGTGTGGTTGCCAGTTCCTCTCTCAGTTTGAGGACTCTGCAGTAACTGATCACACTTTTGGTTAGGAACAACAACAGCTTCTTTTTGTTGATGTGGGATAAGACTGACATCAGTCCCAAGAGAATTATGAGACTCTGTAGAGAAGATGGGGGGGGGCATTTATCAAAGCTGCGCAGCTCCAACAAGGATTAGATTCCAGATAGATTACATGATAGGGCGTGGCAGGACAGAAGCAAAATGAAGAAAAGTCTCTATTCTTTCTCAAACATGATTTAAAAGGAAAATGCCAAACTGACTCTCACAATCTGAAAGCTGTATTTATAACAATAAAAACATTCCATCCAGCTGACATTGAAGTGAGACAGTCAAGCCATTCCCCCCCCCAAAAAAAACTGCAACAGCCTGTTTTGTCCTGGGCAGCCATGATTCTTCTTGATCCTGGGTTCTTCTTGATCCTGGGTTCTTCTTGATCCTGGGTTCTTCTTGATCCTGGGTGCCCTGATTTTCCCTGGCCAGCAGATAGGGGCCGAGGCAGAGACATTGGGAAGGAAGCTTGAGAGTTCATTTTGTGGCAATCCTATTCTGAGCTAGGGCTTAGTGTGCACGCTCTCTCTCTCTCTCGCGCGCGCGCGCTCTCTCGCTCTCTCTCTCTCTCACACACACACACCCTTCTGTTTTTGGTCCTGGGAAGCAACAATGAACTGCTAAGGATGTGTTAAAATGTAAAAAAAAAATGTAGTATAAACACCAACAACTGGAAAACACAGGCCTGCAAGCACTCAAGTTGGAGAACAGCCTTTACAAAAGGTGTCATGGGCTTTGAAGACACTCGGAGAAACGTGCTAAGAGGAAAATACGCTTGGCAAACCCTCACCATGATCAACTGCCGCCCGGAAACTTAGGTCCCCACTGTGGAAGGACGTGTGGATCCAGAATTGGCCTCCACAGTCACTTACAGACTCACTGTTAAAACTGTGTTCATGGAAGACAATCTTACTCGGCTACAAGTGATTGCCAAAGAAGAAGAAGAAGGGTCTCAGAATCTAACTTGGAATGAAAATCAATATCCAGATACAGCAATGTGGTACTTTTCATTTATTTCCCCTATTTATAGTTCATCCTATGGTGCAATCATCCAAGGGTGGGAATACAACAGCATTCAATGTAAAACAAAAATTCAAACAGAATATGCACAAGAACAGATAAAATCAACAAATTTGATAATAAATCTATACAATGCCACATGCCAAAGCTAGTTCCAGGATTGGAGCCATTCCTAGCCACATGCCTGATGAGCCTGGCATAGATTCTATTTCCATATGCCTTCTATATCTCCCCAAAGTAGTGGGTTGATCTTCACACTTACGTTTCATAGTAGAGGCATCCTCCCTACACTTTAGCCTCAGGGCTGGGCTCTCGCTTTCCACAATTTCAGGATCAGTAACAATTTCTTCCTTGGAAGTGACTCTTTCCCTGAATCTCCAGAAATATTTTTCACCAAGAACAAGCATTCCACTTAAGAGCTGTGAACCTGCAGCAATGAACCCCACATAAATAGCAGCTCCAACACATTGCTCTTTTGGAATGAGAGGCAATCCCAAAACGTCATGGAGCTTCATTCCACCCTTCGCTAGGATAGAATACATATTCCAGGAAACGAAAATGAGCACAAATGTTCCTGCAGCTAACTCCAGAATGACTCCTGTGGAAAAAAAGGTAAAGATAAAATCCCCATGTTTTCCAGGCTTGGAAACATTATATAATGGAAAGGCCATACAAAACACGGTCACCGCATTCACAATGGAGGCTAATGGCATGAAGTCCTGAGCAATAACTATTTCAGAGGGAAGGGACTCATCATCAGCTAATGCTGTGCACAAAACATTTATCTTCTTAATAGAAATTCTATGAGCAGAACAGGCAACCCAGAGCCCAATCCCTGCAAAGCCAGGTCTGCTGCCGCCCATGATGCTGTCAACATGCCACATTCTCCACTGGACACCGGCTGTGGAGCAGATGCATATAACACAGCCAAAAAGAGCCAAGACAAAGGTACCTACTTGGAAGCAAGATGCCCTGCACAGCAAACATACAGGAAGGGAGCCATAATCTGCCTGGGGCGGTGCTTTCGCTTGAGTACAGGCAAGGCAGGCAACTGAAGGCATGCTAGAGAAAAACAAAGACAAAAGACAACAGTTAGATACTCAGGTACAATGTCTTATGGACATCCCCTAAAGTCTGAGCAAATAGTGATGCGCAGCCAAAACAATGCCATCATTCTAGGGCAAATTCTACATTTCCCACCTTGAGACGTAGGAAGGGGAAAGTCTGCTGCATCTGCATTCACAGGTGCCGGGAATCACACTTCCTCAGTTTTTCAGTGAAGCTTATGCACATGGACTAGTGTGGGGCCAAAGGCCTTTCTGCCTAGAGCTTTATGCGCCTAGCCTTTCTCCCTGCAGATGTAGACACTTTGCTCAGACACCTGAGGCAGAAAAAAACTGCACGACTTCACAACCTCTTTTGTTGCACGGACCCCCTTCATGCAGATAAGGGGTTTTTTGTCTAATCCTCTCCTCCTCTGCATCTTATTTTCCCTTCCCTCTCCATTATTCAGACAGGACAAAGGGAAATTAAAGTCAACTCGTTCTTATCTAATGAAACACTGCTATGTTGGTGTACCATTGAATATATGTACCTACATGATATTGGTTCTTCAACCACTCTCTGGTACGCAAGGACTTTTTCCAGGTCTTTCTTACGTGTGTCTGACCTCAGAGAAGACCTGAGAAGACTGAAGCTGGTCTGAGCTGGTCACTGAAGCAACTGCCCCTTGGAGTTCTGAGGCAGTTAGAATGCAGCTTGCGTTGAACGCTCAGAACAACACAAATCATAACTCCAGGGTACTGGTCGTTCGGAACATCTGGCAACTGGAACTTTCAGGGAACTCCATTTTCTCCTTTACCAAGACAGACTGTATATTCAGAGAAAGCGGAATTTTATTTCTTTCAACACTATTTACATGAAAAATACATTTTTGAATGGGAAGACTCTTATATAACTAGTGGGAACTGACCACCTAACCCAGGGATGGGGAGCCTGTGGCTTACCAGATTTTATTGAACTACAAATCCCATCATAATTGACCACTCCCTGTCTATGCTGGCTGAAGTTGATGGGAACAGGACATGAACATCTTCTGGAGAGCTACAGGTTCCCCAACCCTGATCTAGTCCAGTATTTTGACTGGATTTTAGGCAGAAATATTTTCCATCATCTAACACCAGATCCTTGTAATCTGGAGATACCAGCGCCCAAACCTGGGATCTTCGGCATGCAGATCCCACCATTGAATGAAGAGGCCAAAACTGTACGTTTTTGTATTTCATTACCACTGGGTCCTATTTTGGATTTTCTCTGTTTTTAATGGCATTTTTATCAGGACATTTTATCCTCACAAATAATGGATTAGGCTGAGGATTTGAAACTGGGTTTTCCTCAGCCTTAGTCCAATACACTAACTACGGTAACCAGTGCAACAGGCAGCCAATGAAGTGGGCTATAGACCAAGGAAATATATACTGCAATAAATGTTGATTTGCTTTACTATACCAAGAGCCACTTTGTTGTTAAAGCCTCTTTGTGCTTTAAACACTGCTTACGGTATTTCATCAAACACATGACTCGTCACACCTACAATTCCCAAGAGACACACCTGTTGGATTTCTGCCTGTCTCACCACGGCTAAGGAGTTCCAGAATGGCACCTGATATTTTATTTGTTACTACATTTACATCTCACATTTCCTTCAAGGAGCTCAATGCGGCATGCATGGGTTCTGCCCAATCCACATTTTAATTTCACAAGAACCCTGTGAGGCAGGCTAGGCTGAAAGACAATGAATGGCCTAAGGTTACCCAGTGAGATTCACAGGGGTCACAGCAAGGCGGTTGCTGAAAGGCAGCGAGCTGCAAATGTGCCATCGGTAATAACTTTAAAAGATAGAATAAAACTTAACCAGCTAAGCATCACATAGCCTGTTAGAGCCTGGTGTGCCATATCCGCCTGCCCTCCCATTAAAGATAATAATAAATACCAGAAGCCTCACAAAAAGAACCCATCCCGCCCCAAACATGTCAGCGAAGCCTTGCAAGAAAAAAGGGAATTAAAGTGGGAAGCTCCCTTTGCAGGGATCCCGTCCTCCGTCCTTAGCATACCAGGGGAAGGCAGCCATCTTGTCTCCCCTCACATAACTCTCTACCCCCCCCCCCCCGCTGCCTTTCAGGCCTCTCAGCACTTCCTCTCCCAGGCGGCCATGATTGAGAAGGGCAAGTGCTAGGACGGCCGGAGGCTTCGCTGCCACCAGGACACATGGCATCGTTTCATTTTGTTGTTGCATTTCTATGTGCCCCGAGTGTCATTCTGAAGGGGGGGGTGACATTCAGCGCCCCCACCCCACCCACGACTTGAGTCCCAAGCCTACAGCGAGCAGCTTTGCCGCCGCTTTGCCGCTCACTATAGGCTTGGGACTCGAGTTGCGAGGGGGGGCACAACAAATGTCACCCCCCCCTTCAAGATGGCATCCGGGGCAGACCGCCCCCACCTTCAAATGCCCCTGACTGGGTGCTGCTACATCATACTCATCTGGGAACACCCCAATGTAGCCCTGCATTGAGGCTGCATTCCTAACTCCACTTACCTGAGAGTAAGTCGCAATGTAGTCAATAGGGCATGCCTCTAGGATTGTGCTGAAAAAGTGAGGTCAAACCAGGCAGTTTTTTAAAATAATAATAATAATAATAATAATAATAATAATAATTTTATTTGATTTTACAAGTGTAGAGTTACAACAATACAAAATGCATATCCACATTTAGAAATTTCTCTGAATCTCTAGACTTCCCACCTCCCTCCCCCACATGGGCCCTATTATAAACCTTTTCAACGGCATATTATTTCATCATCCAAATTTTATGTCTCTCCATTTTGTCCATAATATCTTCTACATTACAAGTGTTATTGTAATCCTGCTGATGTGTTCATCTGCTTACAGTGGTCTCTCAAGTAAATTATAATTCCCCCCCCCCTTCCTTTATTGAACTTTCGGTCTTCTTAGTTCCTGAGCTTTCCAGTCAGTTTTGCCATTTTGGCATAGTTCAACAGCTTAGTTTGCCATTCTTCTCTGGTAGGGACTTTGTCTTCTTTCCATCTCTGGGCTAGTAACATCCGTGCAGCTGTTGTTGCATACATAAAAAGTCTTTTCTGCTCCTTTGGGATCTCGGTACCTACACTTCTGCAAACCAGGCAGTTCTTTTCCAGCAGGAGGAACCCTTCCTCCTTCTAGAACATTCTGTACCTACTTTTTCCATGTGTCCCGTTCATGCCTGAAAAGCCTGTGAGCTGCAAATGGAGCTCTTCCCAAACAATAACTAGCTGGTCCATTTCAAGCAGCACACAGGAAGCATAGAATCATAGAACTGTAGAGTTGGAAGGGACCCTGAGGGTCATCAAGTCCAACCCCCTGCAAATGCAAGAATATGCAGTTGTCCCATACGGGGATTGAACCTGCAACCTTGGCCTTATCAGCACCATGCTCCAGCATGCTGAGCTATCCAGAAGGAGACGTCCCCATTCACAAGTCTACTCCATTATGATCTTATTTACATGTGGTGGTTGCCAATTAAAGATTGGAGGCAATGTATTCTCGTGGTTAGAGTGCTGGATCTGGGAGACTCAAATTCCCACTCAACTAGGAAACCCCCACTCAACTAGGAAGTGACCCCAAGCCAGTCACAGTCTCTTAGCCTAACCTACTTCATAGAGTTGTTCTGAGGATAAAATGAGGAAGCCAGAACCTTTGAGCTCCTTGAAGGAAAGATCCAATATAAATGCAACATTTTTTTTTAAAAAAAGTATGGGCTATTAGTCACCTAGTATAGATGGAATTTATTATTATCTTCAAGATATTTTCATAAGGAAGAATGGACAGCACAACAGGTGCTGGGATTTTGGCTAATTGTTTGCCTCAGTGTTGTTTCATGTGCACCACTTTCAGTCTTCTTTGCACGTTGGCTGCTTGTACAAATAAAAAGATCTGTAAGGTAGCCATTGTTTGACCTGCATGTTCAAAACAGCAGCATTTTTCTAACCTCCGTTGAGGAATAACCTCTTTTCACAGCACTCAGCAAAAAGATGAAGGGAGAAACAGATTGTTGCTCTGTTTGCTGAAAGCTGTAGCCATACAATAGCCTTCTCGCAACAAAATATGAAGCTGTGATTGAAAGCAGGAGGCTTTCCTATCAAAACGATCTGTTGAGCTACAGATTTCCTTGATGTTTGTTTTGTGAAGGAGCGCATTTGCTTTGAGAGTTTTTCAAGATCTATCTAAAGCTCAGAAATGATACCATTCACTCTAGACATTACATCTCATTTTTTGATCCTATATTACTATGGTAAAAGGGGGCGTTGTTCCCAGTAATTTTCTATAGGCCACGGTTGCGGTAGATCCAGGAAGTTCTCCCTCTCTTCTCCCTGCAGTTGTGAGGGTAATTGCATGTGGGGAGAATTGCCTGAAGCAGACTACAGTGATACCTCAGGTTAAGAACTTAATTCGTTCTGGAGATCCGTTCTTAAGCTGAAACTGTTCTTAACCTGAGGTACCACTTTAGCTAATGGGGCCTCCCGCTGCCACCGTGCGATTTTTGTTCTCAACCTGAAGCAAAGTTCTTAACCCAAGGTACTATTTATGGGTTAGCGGAGTCTGTAACCTGAAGCGTCTGTAACCTGAAGCATCAGTAACCCAAGGTACCACTGTATTCTCTGTCTTACAACCAAGCACTTGAGAAAACAGCAAGTGTGTGTTCAAACAATGCCCTCCCCACTTAATATGCAACCTCTCTTCATCACCCCGCAGTTACTTGAATCCATGTGTCATGCCCCAACCTAAAAACACTTGGAGCCAACGTCATTATGTGCAATGTCAACAGAGCAACAGAAGGATAGGGGAGCAAGTGGTATATTTACTGGCTGTGGTGTTGGAACTGCTTCTCAGGGGCTTCCAGTATTATGCGCATGAAGGATGTCCATGGGGGAAAGAAGCCTTTCACTGGCCCTGCCAGCATAAATGCAATATTGGAGTTGTGAAAGAAGTAATGGGTTGGAGGCTCTCATCTCGGTGATGTTTGTTTCATTTATATCCTACGTTGCTCTCCAAGCAGTTCAAGGCCGCATACATGGTTCTCCCCCTCCTCATGCAATTCCCCAAAACAACCCTATAAGGTAGGTTAGACTGAGAGGTAGTGACTGGCCCAAGGTCACCCAATGAGTTTCATGGCCAAGTGGAGATTTGAACCCTGGTCTCCCAGGTCCTAGTCCATCACTCTAACCACTACACCACACTGGTTCTTGTTAAGTATGAATTGGAGCAGGTTTAATATAGTAAAAGGAAGGAATTATGATATTCTATACAAATAAATCCAGATATGCCTATACTGTAGTTTATCTGAGTCTTTTCAACTGCTACCTTCCCCCCACCCAAATTTCCCCAAACCTAACCTCGACTGTGAAAATACAGTAAGAGGAAATTGGTGTGTTTATTCGTTTAAACATTAAAACTTTACTAAGGCAAGAGAAGTGCTAAAGTTCAAATAGTTAGCAGCAATGAAATAATGATCAGCTTCAATGCCGGAATGTGCAGCCACGCAATTTGTCTTGTGATGGGCTTGCGGAGGTAGCAGGAAGTCCCTGCTGAAAATCTGCAGGAATAGGAGCTCTGCCTTCTCTCGCACTGGGTCACTCTATGATCAATGCATTAAAGAGTGGAGGAAATTGCTCAAAGGAAGGCGGGAGTTAAAAATACAGCCTTTTTAAAAAAATTAAGCTAGATTTGCTACACATCCTGTGTCTGGGTCTTAGCAATGTGACTGCTGTTTTCATTTCAATATTTCTGAGCAATATTGAAATACTGAGGGAAGGGGAAATGAAGATATTGGTGTCAATAAAACCTGCATTGCTTTCTCTCTCTCTCTTTTTTAATGCCTCAATAGACGAGTGAAAATGTCATTAAGGTTTAAAAGCAGATAAGTGATATTCTAAGCTGCAAGAGGGAATAGATAATTTAGAGCGAGCACCAAGCAATCTCCTTGTTCACTCCCAAATCTTCCATGTAGCATGTCTAATAGGATTAACTCTAATTGCTTCCAGAATCAACCTGAAACTGCAGCACAGAAAGCTTTCAGGCTGGAATGAAGCCACCAGGCTACTTATCTGATCTCAAAGGCTCCAGCTCACCCACACAGACACAGACAAGTGTTTATCACTTCTTTCAGTTATACAGAGGTGGTGGGCGTTATCGTCATGATCCCAAAGCGATGTGTGTCCAGAATTTGTTGCAGTTTCCTTTCCAGTTCCTGCCACTACTGATCCCAAACATGCACAGGTATACTCCTAGGATTTTAAACCAGGATTTAGTACTGGATCAGTTGGAAGGGAATCCCAGAGGAAATTTGGCCCGATGGCAGAAATGTGTTTTGCAGCAAAAGGCCAAAGCAGTTGGTATTCAGCAAGGAAGGCTTCTCTGATGGTGAGGTGTCAACTATTAGTGTGAAATAGCCGTGCAGCTGCAGCGATGCACTAGTATTATTATAAATATATGGGATGTTGCGACACTAATAAATCATGGGCAAGGGGTATGGAGAGTGGGGAGAGCAAAACAAGAGGCATTGTTGTGTAGATAGGAACAGCCTATGGATGTGGTGTTGAGATGGCTCGATAGATGATGGTCATATGTCCACCTGGGTTCTTGCCAACCTCTGCAGATAATATGTCTTGGCTAGAAAAGTTACATTTCTCTGAGAGACCTGACCAGTTCACTCTGTGGATGAATTGTGGGGGAAACGGCAAACGTACCAATTGTAAGACAAAAGGTATATTTAATTCCCAACATTATTTGAACCACAGTCTCTCCCCAAAGGGAAACAGAGCAACCGTACATGTATGTTCTTTGAAATGGGGCAAATAGCCAGATGGAGTTGTTTTAGATTGGGAATATGGCATGGTTTGGATTCTTGGTGTAGAAAATAATGAACTAGATGGACCAATGGTGTGATTCACTACAAGGCAGCTTCCTATGTTCCTCACTGTAGCAAATTGTGTTGAAGTTCCCACAGTTATGCACACTGTACAGTGGATAAAAACATGAGATCAGTGGGGACAAGAGCCACAGCTTTTCCTACTGCTGCTACTCTACTGCGGAATGCCCTCCCAAAGCAGATCCATCTGGCTACATCCTTGATGTCATTGTGCCAGTGGCGGGTAAACATTTGATTGAAGTGTTGGCAGTTGGCTGTCACCAGGAAAAGGTATCTCCGTCAGGCATTTGGGGAGGGCTGGGTGAGCTGA